TATCTGACCATCTCTTAAGATATATCTTTCTAATTTCACTCATTTTTTCCTTATAAAAACTATTCAAAATTAATGAAAAATTCCTTATTTTTCTTTAAAAAAATCATTGCTCGCATATATGAAATTTAAAAAGTCGAAAATCTCTTGTTCAAACTAATATATATGAGATGTTTTAGTAAAAACAATTTCGGGATAAATTGCAAACGCGATTATTCCTGAAGTCTGCGATCTTCTAGAAATCTCTGGAAAGTATATATTTCAACTTCGATTGTTCTACCAAATTTTCTTATCGTGATTGACGTTCTTTTAGACTATTTAATAGTACTCTACGCATAGTTTTTATAAGGAAAAAGTGAGTGAAATTAGAAAGGTATATCTTAAGAGATTGTCTGATAACGTCAAATATAATAGCATGAATGATATTTAACTGAATGAAAAAAAAAATAAATTGGAATAAAATATGTATTTTCTCTAAAAGAAAATTTATATGATTTATTTGACTATTGACAATAATTTTATTAATAATGGGATTCTATTTAATATCTTTTTTTCATTGATATAAATTAGAAAAATTAATAACTATGGTTAGAAAGCTGATAAGTCAACTTTTTTCTGATAAATGTCAGTTAATATTACTTCGACTTGATATTGGTGACGATGATAATCCTCTTAACATTCATGAATGCTTAACATCGTGTTCTCATCCTTCTTCAACTTCAATTTCTAATAAAAATCAATACTGTTGTTGGACACTTCGTTATTTATACGTTGGTCTTAAGTATACGTCTTTTCTTGAACATCTTATTGAACATATACCAAATATTGAACGACTATCAGTTAGTTTCAAAAAATGGTTAGATCTTGAATTTCGATCGAGATCAGATATTCAAACATTAATCAAATCAAATGGAAATTGGTTTGAAAAGGTAAGATAGATACTTTGTTCCTGACTTTTTATTTTTCTTCAGAGCGTTTTAATAACAACAAATTTCCAAATGAGTTTTATAATGATATATCTATTTTATGTGCTATTCATTTAGTCATTTTTTTCATTGAGTATAAATCCTTCAGTTAAGTCCTATAGAACGACTCAGAAATATAAATTACTGTATGGTTTGAGTACACTCGTAAGGTATCAATATCTCGTCCAATACTATTTTAAATTAATTAAAAAAGTTTATCATAAATCAGTGTTTTTCTTAATTTCTTTTGGTGCTTAGTGGTAATTGTTCTCATGTTCTTTGTTTCAAAAATAGCATATTACCATTTGATGGTGAAAGGGAAATCGAAATTGAGCAGGAGATCTAGAGTAATAAACATTCTTGATGACAAAACCATGAAGATATATATATATATATTAAATGTGTGAAAGAAAAAGGTATTCTCGCACACATAAACGCGTGAAAAATGAAGAAAGAGATGTCATATCTGAGTTCGATAGAAGAAACAAATACAAAAAGATTTTTCAAGAGTAAAATAGGAAGAGAAAGAATTTTTACACTTTAAAAATTATAATTTTTTTTTTCTCATATATCAGATATATTCTATTTGTCTGGTTTTCATTATTATATACCCATCTTCTTTTATGGCGCTTTGAATATATTTCACATTATTCTTCTGTCTGTGTTCTTTGTATAATCGATAGTTGTTCGTTGTCCAGACTACATTTCAATGCGAATACATTAAATGTGTCATGACACTATATTTCTATTATAATCATAATATTTGAAAATAATTCAGATATTTATTCTTAGGATTACTAGATTAAAAAGTCAATTATCCGAAATTTGATATGTCAAGATTGATAAAAAAAATTAGAAAAGGATTTTTATTGCGTTAAGATATCTTTATTGTTGTCCTATTAGCATAACAGTTTAATGTATTTCTATTTTGATTGATCCCATGCACGAGCAATTGAAAATATATTTCATAACTAAAATCGATAATAACAATATATATGCAGAGTTAAGTCAGCATGACAACTAAAAAGTAATTCAATTGTAAATATATTTTGCAAAACTTACAGTTCATTTTATAATTAGACAGATTATCCGATATGTTTTTCGACAATGACAGATAATGAGTCACATCTAAGGAAACGAAGTGTTTCAGCGACTCTCGAGAGTGCACTTTTCAACATATAGGATATTTGTTTTTATATATAAATGACAGCAGCTCGTCATCGTTATGAAAAAATCACTTGAGAATTATCATACGAACTATATTAGAAATCTTTTTTAAAACTGTCTTTCTATTCACTGTTATAAAAAAAAAATATTTCCTTCATTTGCTGGTAAAGTGTTTGACAGCTACGTGTTCGGTAGAACAGTGGTCGAACTATAGAAAATTCGATAAATCTTTGGATATAACATGTAATTAGTGGCGTAACAAAGATGGGACTCAGCGCCATTAATGAAGTGTTGAGTTCCGTCACCATAAAAATTCTGACTAACCGCTAGATGAGTATATTCGATTTACACTTTTCCTTTGTGGAAAATATGAAGAAAAGTAAAAGAAATTTTATTATTTCTTTTCTTTTTTCTATTGATTTTAGGTATCAAAACTGAACTATTTTGCTTTAAAAGTTTTCATTCATAGTGACTTTGAATTTGCTTATTTGAAATGGATTCTTAATAATTTAAATCATATTGAAAAATTTAAACTTCACCTTGTAATTCATAAAATGTATTCAGATACAATGATTAAGGAATACATTGTTGATGCAAATTTTATTCGTCAATATTGTTTGTCTGATGTATTAATCAATATAAAACATTTTCAATTTTATATTGTTTCGGAATGTCAATTATTATTATCGAATAACATTGAACAAATAATAAATTCATTTAAAACTCATCAATTTTTTATCGATCATCAATGGACAAATGTAACTTGTTTATTTGATCCATATAAGTCATATCAACATCTTTCTTCTTTTTCTTCGAATGTTAATAAACTTCACTTTATGAATGGTTTAGTGTAATATAAACTTTTCTACAACAATATATATAGCTTTTTTAATAGAGACAACTTTTTTTTAGTTTTGATTCAAATATTTTTACATGGCCATTTATTAAAAGTATTTCAATTGATTTGCATCCATTTCTTTATTTATTTCTTGAACAATTTAATGAATTATTTCCCAATGTCTCTCATATTAAAGTTTATACAGGTCAGTATTTTATTCTTTTATATTGATCTATGTAATAGAAACAGAAAGTAGCTGATATGAGTTCAATATAAAAAGTCTATTGTATTTGAAATTCATTTGACTTAATTCATTGTCACCTATTTACAAAAATCTTTCAATTGATCAGATTAAAATTTCTGCCTCACATAGATTCTGACAGATTATCGTTTAGAGCATTAAAGTCTCCTAAAAAGTTAGTTTTCTTCAGAACAATTAAAAGAAAGATAAATACATGGGAAGACAGTCTAAAATCTGATCTTTTACAAACAGTGAAATGTTTTTATTAGATATTTCGGTATTTTTTTTGCCAAAATTTTGAAGATGTCGGTAAAATTCTGCTGAAAAACTACTTTTTTTTCTCAGTTTATGTTTTGTTAATCGCGCAATACAAGATTTTCTATGGATCTTTATTCTACATATGTATGTTCTTGCTTGAATGAATATGTCAAGAGTTAAGGTGCATGACATTATGATATGTTCTTTCAAATAAAAATGTATAATATATAGAATGAACTTGGATTGAAAAATTTAGGCTATTAAATCACTTATTTTTGATAATCCTCGAAAATCTATTAATTCTTTTTAATTTTATTTAGAACACTATCGAAATATAGGTTCGTTCGAGTTGCTAAATTCATTAAGAATACCGTTCGAAAAAGGAAAATGTGAAGTGACTGACATTCAATTTCGAAATGTAACAAGGCTTGATTTGGGATCTTGTTCAACATGTGTGATTAGTAAGTATTGATTTGTTTTTTTTTAGATTTAAGTATAAGACGAATTAAAACTTTTATTTTTCTTTAATTCATATTATTGTTTGGATACATAATTATAATGTATTCGAGATACATTTCTTCAATATACACTTATCCAAACTTCATATATGAATTTTAATAAGCCCTAAACCTTTTTTTTAAGAATATAATGGTAGATGCAAAAGCAGACATACGAATGTCTCTTGATTATTGTTCTAAGGGAGTATTTTATGAAAAAATGAAAATATGAACTTACTCTGCTGCAAGGAAGTTCAGTGTCACAAGTATAATTTCTAAAATATGAGTGAAAGTCACCTTGTATAATGAGTATAAAGTAAAAGGGAGGAAATATTGAATAGATTTATTCATCCTCTCTCATTGTTTACTTTTTGTTTCGTTTAAATATCTGAAAGTCGTTGCGCTACGTAGATTCTTAAAACAACGAACAAAAACGTTCTTTTCACGAGTTAAAATATATCTTAGTCTATTTATTAATAGCGTATGAGTGGTCAAGAATTATGTCATAGAAATCCGACAAGCATTTATACTATTCTCTTAGACATTTTTCTGCTACGAAATCATATAAATCGTAGGGATAAAACAATCAAACTTTTTTATTAACTTGGCTTAAAATCTGAGCAAATCTTCTACTGAAACATATCACGAAGTGAATAATTATCAATTTAAATAATTTAACAATTTATCTGACTCAAAAAAAGTATTAGTATGGGATTGATTTAATATCGAGTACTGCAACTAGACAATTCGACGATTGCAAAAATAAACTGGAAGCGGAATCACGGTTCCAGTTCGCGTTCAAAAATGCCACGATGAACCTCAATCATTGAATCATTAGATGGATTCGAAAATTTTAAATCTATTTTGAAAATTTTTCAATTTTTAATTCTTGAAACTAAAGATGTCACGCATTTTATTACCCAGACTAAACAATAGTAAGCTGATGAATAAAAAAAAAAAAAACTTCTCGAAATTATCTTCAAAATTTCTGTGTCCATCTGATGATTGAACGGTTCTGGTTTCCTTAGCGGTTCCAAAATGTTCTTTTTCACGGTTTCACTTTCGGTTTCGGTTTCGATAAATCTTCCTCAAACAAAACATCTGGATAAATTTCTTCATTTACAATGATCACATTTTCATTATATTTCGCATTCTAATCCTGTAGAGGTTATACTAATAGTTTTGTTACTCTTGAAAGAATATTATTTCGAATAAATTTTATTTCTTTACATAAATAATATAAATACAAAGACCAAAATAAATATTCCTTTTTAGACGATTCTAATACAATAGAAATAAATAAAGCACGTGCAAAAGTATTTGCTCACCTTATTTCAATGCCTGTTCAACTAGAATATCTTCTTGTTGAAAAAGTTGAATGGCTTTTTCATATTATTCAATATGTAAGTATTTATTTAATTAGTAAGATTCCTTTAAGTTTAACAAAAATTCTCTTGGAACAGCTGATCTGATATTTAGAAAAATGACCATTTAAATAATTCTAGAAAAATTATATCTTATAGATTTCATTTTATTAATTAGATTCACGAAATTCTAAAAAAATTTATTTCTTTGACAAGAATAACTGAAATGTTGACTATATAAGAAAAAAAATAGGTTTAAAATAAGTTTAACTTCAATTGAGTGAAATTACAATATAAAATAACCATGAATACAATAACGTAATCAGAAGCGACAAGAAGAGACTCAGCCAACCTCTCAAGATCCTTTGAACTTCTTATAACGAAATATTTCACATGCGTATTTTATTCATTAGAATGGGCTCGAAGCCTCATAGAGAGGGTGTCTCATAGAGACCTACACAAGGCACTAATTTCGGTCCCGATACCGTCGGAGTCGGAGTCAATGTGCGAATTATGAAGACTCCACAAATCTTTTTCCAGCCTTTTCTGTAACGTTTTTTTCAATAATAATAAGGTCAATTAAACAGAAAATGTCAATTCAGTAGCCAAACAACATGAAATAGAAAAATATAGTCGTACATTTTTTTAATGAAATTTAGAATTTCTTGTAATAAGAGTTTCGTAGTTATTGCAAGTATATTTAATACATGTGGATGAAAAATTTCAAAATCCAATTAGTTTTAATGTCTCTGTCCAACATACAACAAATCTGTTTACCAGCTCGCAATACATTTAAAATGAGGCTTGATATGTGATAGTGCACTAATTTTAAGTTACATAATATCTTCGTATATGCACATTGTCACTAATTTATGGGAAAAAAAAATTTCAGCATCCAAGTTCAACTCTTTTAAAGTTTTTAGACTTGAAGTCGGAGTTCTAAAAGTGTGACTTCGCAAGTCTCTAGTCTCTTGTCCATTACAAAATCCTGGCTCCGCCACTGATTGAGTGTTCTTTAAAGTTAGGAGAAATGACATAAAATTGGAAACAAACTTTATTTCTAATAAGTCTGGCAAACAGATATGTCATTCTTATAGAAAATATATAATTGTATCGAATGAATAGTAAAGATTGCAAAAAGAAAGAGTAGTGAGCGAAGATAGTTTACAAAAAAAAAGAGAACTATTACTATAAATTAGTGAATATAAATAGACAAGATAGTGAAATATATTTTTCAAAAATACGAAAATATGAGAAAAAAAGAATACTCATAAACTTTAGTGCAGATTTTCATCTAAAGTAAAAAGTAAAAAATTGATCAACTCCTGGTCTTGATGTTAATTAATTATTTGTTTCATGTCATTTCAGTTTTAGATATAAGCCAAAGGTTAAGAAGAAATCAAACATCTCTCGCTTTCTTACTTTCCCTTTACAGCTATAAACGGTATTTATTCCTTTAACTTATTTAGCGGTTTAAAATTTTTACGCTATTTACTTCTTTAGGACTATTCGTTCCTAAGTCTTTTCAATGCCTCTGCATTTCCTGATAATTTTAAAACGACGAAAATAAGTAAAACACCAATTGACTGAATGGAGTAAAAATAAAATAAAAGGAGTAAACATTGTTTATAATTTAAAAATGAAAGCTAAATCCGAGTAAGTTTCGTTTCTTGTGAATCTCTGATATCAATATCTAATTAATTAATTACATAGAAATGTTTTTATTTTATTTTAAGGCATCAAATGAATTAAAAATAAATGCATTGGGTAATATTCAATGTGCTGAATTTGGTATTCCTAGTTGTTATTATGGTTCAAATGATTCAATTCATATTGGTAAAAATCTTGTACCTTTTCTGAGTACTTATATGCCTCAATTACAAACATTGTATCTTTGGCGACCAGATGATTTTGCTTGGACAGCTAGTAAGTTGATTTTAGATAAAAATCTATTCAATTCAGTTTATAGCTTATACTTTTCTCTTTTTCTATTTCTAAATCTGAATTGAGAGTTTAATGAATGAAACTGGTATTTCTGTAAGATCAAGCAAGCTTGATAATCGAAAAAACCGTTGTCGTTTATTTCTTTGAATTTTTTATTTAACATTATTGAATTTCACTAACAAGGAAACATTGCGAGGTGCTAAAAAGTTTTGAGCCCAAATTTTGTCCATAATTACAGGATATATGGACTAGAAAAGCCTAAGTGCATATGGGCGCAAGTTGTGACTTGGCCAAGGTGCCGAGTTTTTACTAGAATTTATCTATGGGACTCCATTTTTCCCATAAAATGAAAGTTTCGAATATTGATGTGAAGCTTTGCCTATATCAAAGTCTCAACTAGAATAACTTATCAATAAAGTTTCAGAATTTTTGATCGAAGTATTATCGAGATATGTTTTTTAAATTCCATCCGTACTACAAAATCCGCAGGCCAGTAT